TTCCCACGTGCCAGCCTGACAGGGCAAAGCTGGCAGAGGGCTTCCCACAGAGGTGGTATCCTGCCCCTTGGAGATCCTCCTGCCTGGCTTCTCAGGCAGCAACCCCAGGCGGGCTTCCTGTTGTACGTGCCCTGAAGTAAGTTGGGGAGGTAAACAGCCATGGAAGCAGAAAGGTCACTGCTTGCATAGGACCTGGTTCTGGTTGGCTTCTATGCAGCCAGCAACCTGTTTCCTACTGCTCTGTAAAAGGCCTGGGCATCTTCAAGCCCTTCCTCTGGAAGGAGAGGAAGCCACCGTGCTGCTTTTTCAGCCAAATGCCAGCAGAGGTGAGCGCCTGCCCTGCAAATCCAGCAGTGAGGAGCTCCCCTCCCCAGGCTGGGTGCATTCCCCAGGGACACACAGGTGCATAGGTCATCTCTTCCTTGTTGCGCAAATCACTTAGATGAGTCTCCTAAAGTGGGATGTACTTCATTAAGCTCTAGGCATCAAAAATTAGGCTTGTTATCCGGCAAAGAGCTGGGTAGCTTGCCAGAGCAACTCTGGTGTCAATGAGAGACTTGGACCTTCAGAGGGTTTCTCCTAATCTGGAGATGACTGACCTCCTTCGCTGATTATAGAGATGTCTGCGTCAAACAAAGAGACAAGATGCCTGATTGCTGGATGGCTAAAGCAAGGTGAGGTGGTATGACTATACCCTTGATGAGCTCTGTCTCCTCATCTCTGGCAAGGAGATACTAAATATTCTTCCTTCCTGTATGTGCCTTGATTATTCAATTTAGATGTTCTTGGGTATAAACAGTCTTTCACTGTTTGTCTCTGCTAACTGTGGGAAAATAAGTGACCTTTAGCTGTTTGGCAAGCCTGAAGAAACCCAGATAAGTAGCTGAAACACAGATTTTAAAAGTATCTAATGCCTTTTGTTTTACTCAGATAGAAATATTACGTTTGGTCATGAACTCTTCACAACATTTTGGGTTTTTTAACCATAGCTGGGAGTTAATTAGAAACAAGTAATTTTAAATATGAAAAATAAACCCCCAATAATTCATTTTCAAAGCCCAACATTTAGATATTACTTATTCCAGGTTTTGTTTTTCCTTTAGCTCCTTCATATGTCACAAGAAAATTATGTTACTGGCATTTTACGTGGGAAGGTCTAGGAGCTGGATGCCTATTTTCCTTTGGCTCCAGAGAAGACTGTGAGTGATTCAGTGATTCTAGAAGTGCTGAGTATATCCTAGCCCAGTGGGACTGTGGAGCGCTTAGCACTTTTAGAGCTGAATCTGCTTATTTAGTTACTTAAACATATAGTGTGAGGCAGCTGGTTTGGCATTTGTCAGGTGTTTTGCAAGAGGATGGGTTGGTGCCTTGCAGAGATGACTGAACTATATCTAGACCTGCCACTGATGGGTAAATAGCTGGTATTCACATCAGCAGTGTGCAAGGATTCCCTTCTAGAGTTGATGCTGCTGAAAAATTAAGAGGGCGAATGAACCCCACTCTGGCCAATGGCCAAAGACTAACTGTAATGTTCTTAAGTTCAGATTGACTGCCAGGTATCTGCTGAATGGGGACAGAGATGCTAATGGACCAGCGGGTCAGGAAAAGCTGAAAAGAGGGAGACTGACTATGCTCAGCACATTCTTGAGGACATATAAGCTTGCCACCTTAACACAAGCCTGTTTTTGTCATTTTAGACATACATCTAGGAAATGAGGTGCTAGAGTTCAATACTTATTCCCTTCTGCTGTGATCTACTGAGAGGCAGTTTGGACAGGTAGGAGCCTGTCCTTTCTTCAACTGCTGAGCAAAATTTTTTGTACCTAATGGGTCAGACTACTAAGACACCACTTAGTAAGTTATTGCTCAACACATGAATGGCATTGCTTGGCATTAGTGAATTTATACTCAGTGTGAATAAGGTAAGCATTGTAGGAGTAAGTAGAGGATCTTGTTCAAACCTGACATGCATTTCCAGATGCTGGCTGTGAAAGGGGTGGGAGTTTCAGTCAGCATTCTTTTGTGGTTTTTTTTTTTTTAATGTTTCAGTGAGATACATCAATAACTAATGTACAGCTTAAGGAGACTTCACTGAACTTCTATGCACAATATGTAAAGCAATAAAAGAACCACAGGCTGGAAGATGTCTTGACCGTCCCCTGCATCATGACAGGAGCAGCCATTGTTGCTGTTCCTGGTGGAAACTTCTCTAAGCTGTTCTCAGTGATGTCAGGACAGAGATCTCCAACTGTGAATAGGAACTACGTATCATAGGTACAAATGAAAAAACAGGTTTTTGGGGCTATCTAGGGGTTATATTTTTTGTGCTGAGAAATTTTCATTTCAGCTGAGAAATGAAAACAAACAATCACCTCAAAATGGGGACATTTTAAAGCAGTCATATTATAATGCTGTGGTTTCGAGGGTTTTCCAATATCAGATAGTATCATCAAAGCCACTCAAGAACATGGACAGTTCATCACTGGGATGCAGCAAGGGAAAAAATATTTGTGACTGGCAGTGTTAAATGCAAATGTTACCAGGGAACAAAGTTCATGGCAGAAGCAGAGTTGTGCACATGGCACACCAAACAGTGAAGATGGCAGGCTCCGACCACAAAATACCTCATCTCTGTTCTCCAACGTGTTTAAGCACACGCTTGCTTTTAAGCACATCAAATGTAGTTGCCTTAATGTTAAACATGTGCATAAGTCCCACATTGAAACACCAAGGACTGGGCCGAGATTTTTACATGCTACATTTCCATTCCATTTTCTCTTCTGGAAGATCTTCCACACATAGATTTGTTATGGACAGTTCAAAGGCTTCCCTGCCACTTAATTTTGTGTGTCTCAGCTGGCTAAATTGGAAATGCGGATTTTATATAGGCTAAGGAAGTAGGATCTGCTCCTCATCCTCACCTACTTTCAATGAAGCTATTGCATGTAAAAAACAACAAAGTTATTTCTCTAAATTAGGCAGTATGAATATGTGGGTGCCTCCAGAAAGTGTTCATGGAAACATACTACAAACCTAGTGTCTGAGTCTGGAGAGAGCATTTGCCCGTACAAATATCACTGATTTCATATTCACACCAAAGCTGAAACCAGCAGTAAAGGTGATGGGCTGGAGCATTACAGGAAAGCTGGCAGAACAGTGCATTATATGAAACGGCAAGAAAGAGCAGGCACTAACTGCATGAACGGGGCAGTTAGCAACATGCTGAAATATCAGAGATGCACTGTGGATCAGTGTATGGCCCAGGTCAGGACCGGATCTGGACACATACATCATAAAACATGGCAGATTACAGCACTGCTCAAGGCAGGCAGGTGTGCTCCTACTGAAATAGATGCTCCCAACCATTTCAGCAGCTTTCTGTAGGCCTGAGTTTGTCATCTGGTTCCAGCTACCCCCATGGACGGTGAGATACCTGCCCTGAGTACGCCAAGGTGAGTTCAGCTGATCTGAAGCAGCCAGCTTGGCTCATCTTGACTCTGGCAGAAAGAAGAAGGGTTCTCAGATGACTCTATCAGGAGCAGATACTAGGCAGAGTAGTGAGAGGCAGGACAGCAAGGAGGTCAGTAAGTAAATAACAATATGTGTTCTCACAGTAACGAAGTGACTCTTTCTCTGTAGTCTTCCTTGATGGGAAGTGACAGCCAAAAGAATCATTACCAAAGATGCCAACTTGGGCAGTGCAACGACAGAGAGAAGATTATTGCCTTAACATTGTGCCCACTACAGCTTACAAGCCAATGACAAAGAAAATGAAATGAGCTGACACCTACTTAGTCTCTTCAGAGAAGAATATTTACTTGGGTTTGTCTTGACAGCAGACTCATAGGATGGTGGAAGGTGAGAGAGGTTCTGGAAGGACCGGGAGAATGACAGATCGTAGGGTTCGGTGGCAGACGTAAGGATGTTGTTCATTCGGGGCTTGTCTGAAAAAAAAAAAAACAACAACAGAGAAAGGCATGTCCACAGTGTGCACCAAAACAAGCTGAGAGGCAAGCCATTCCCACAAACTCTGGCAGGAAGAAGAGCTGTATCTGAGCCAGCCTCAGTGACAGGCTGTTGGATAGAATTCAAACTGGCACTTGGCAGATTGGTGAAAAGTGGACCCTGTGGTGGTGTTTCCTTGCCTACAGTGACTACGGAGAGAAGAAAACTGCTGCCTCGAAAGTGCATGGACCAACCAGGCCTCCTCACAGCAGGACAGAGGACCTGGTGGACTGTGAGTGTCCTCACTTACCGTGGAGGGCTGTGTCATAGTGCTGCAACTGACCCCACTTCAGCCTGCATGAGTTCAGGCAATATTCACCTACTTTGACCCCAGAAAGCTGTGCTTTCCCCACCCTCAGAGCCATGGGAATGAGTCTATGGGGTTATTTTAACTGAGGCCGATAATAAAATTGCTCTCTCATTGTGCCAGATTTCTGATTAATGCTCTGAGCCTGGAGTTTCCCGGGAAAAGCTGTTCCATGGCCTCAGGGGTTCTGGTGGGCTCTAGATATGGCCATGCCTCCCCTGCACACAAGGAAGTGTAAAGTGGAGCTGTGGGGTGCACATCGGGGTGCAGACAGAAGACAAGGCAAGGTTTGGAGAGGTTCCTGAATCAGCAAAGGATTTGTCATCCTCTAGGAGGTCCCTCTAATTATCTTGACTTTGTTGGTCACTGAGGGAGCCCCAGCCAGTGTCAAAATGCCCGCTGTCAGGATACTAATGCTGAGGGCACTGTCAATAAAGATTAGCACTGAGCCTGGATGTTAAAAGTCAAGTACAGACAATGCAGAGTATGTCTGATGTTGAAATCATGGTCCTTTGCTGCAAGCTGGATGGAAAATGGCCTTTCAACAGCTCAGCCAAAGGACAGGGACCTGTTGAATTGTATTTATAACTCCTAGGTGTTCATAGATTAAAATAGGCAGAGATAAGTGTATTAAAAATAGCAGGAGCTTCAATGATTAGAAGCAAAGCTAGAAGACTACAGTGGGGTCTGTGGGAGCTTGCAGCATTGATGGGATTGCATTAGCTGGGTCAAAAGGCCAAGGAGGTAGCCACTTCAAGTGTGGGCTGAAAATGAAATCAGAGGGCTAAGTTCTCTGACACAGCTGAGGAGAGGCAGAATGCCCAAGTCTTGGGTTCACACATTCCTTTTTCTCTAAGGTGTACTCATGAAGAGCAGTGTAACATGTGCTCAGTACATGCTCACATGCCTCAAGACACTCTTACCTCCTCTGAACTGTGGACTGGTGGAGATTAACACACAGCTTCTGCCCAAAAGTAACTGAGCAGCAGGGTAATTTCACCTCGACAAATGTGACAGAATTAAATGCCCAGTGCTCAATTCAAAGGCACCTGAGCCATTTTGGTTCTGCCAGGGTATCTAAGACACCAATAAAAGGCTGAAAGGAGCGATGGGGACCCACCAGAGATCTGATGCCACCCATGTTTAGGGATTTGAATTACAACTACCATGTCAACAAACCCAGCACTTTCTCCTTCCTGCCTCGGTTGTCACTGATTCCATGCACTCTGCTGCTCCATGAACTTCCTCGCAATGAAGCTTCCTGCAGAACAAATCACAGCCATGTACTCTTTTCCACCTATGTCCAGGGTATGTCCATGAGTGGAGGAGCAGATTCCCCTCTCCTTGAGCACTGGTCTGGCACCAGCATGGGTTACCCCATCTTGTGTAATTCCCCCACTGCTGCCAGCACAGCAAGGGGACGGGGAAGGAAACTACTCTCTCAGGAGCAGGGGCTTGCACGTTTCAGCAAGCACCCACATGCTGTCCTCCTGGCTCAACAACTGACAGACAATGTCAGCCACCTCGCAGAAAAGGAACAGCCCAGGTCTCTGCCAGAGCATCTTTTTGTTCCCAGTTCTGAGAAATTATGAGGCACTTTCTTACGAAATGTAGCAATGGTGAAAATTTCCTTTTAACAATGCAATAACCATTTTGGTTAATATATTCTTCTTTCCTATAGCTTATGTATCTCTCTGCACTCCTGGAATAGGGTTATCGTCTGGCAGAAAGAGCATAGCCCCAAGTGAGCAGACAGCTAATGTGTCATCTTTCTGAGAACATTATTTTCTTGCTGATGACTTCCATCCATGTCTAACAGACTGACTGCAGGATTAGGAAGTGCATCATATTCATCAGGGGACTGGAAACAATTGATTAGATATTATCCAGTAAACAGAGACTATATCAGCATTAAAACTATATCCCCACTCCTATTTGTGCCTGTGTGGCAAGGACCCTGGGGTAACATCTCTTTACAAATTTTTCAGCCAGAACCTGTATCTAATCTCCATTTTGCATGGAGGTTTGGACATGCTGAAATAAACCCAGTCATATGTATGGAATTTGTGTTCGGTGCCAAAGCAGGAGCATTAATTGACTGCTTGCATGAGGTGTGTGAAATTAAGTGCCATGCATTTATCTGATGGGCTTCTGCAGAATCAGTATATCTTCTTACTGCTTTTTCCATCCAGTCAGGAACACACTGTAGTGATTTTGGCAAATGAGAAGTCACCTTGAAATCCACTACCCATTGTTCAGCAAAATAAGGGATAAACTGAAATGACCAGAGATAATTTCCAATGTCTTTTGCATAATGTAGTTTGAGGGCAAGATCAGAGAACTGAGAGACTCTCATAAGGAGAAATATCTTGTGCAATTTATATTCTGGGACCCATTCAGCAGAAGTTTCTTAGTAGTTCTTCACCCCTGCAATATATTTGAGTCATGCTTTTCTCTGGTCTCTCTCCTTTTTGTTTGTGGTGTTTGTTGGCTCCTATGGAAGATGCAGAACATAATTAATTAACAGGATATAAATAAAAAGGTCTCTGCATTCCCTGCAAGGCAGCTGACTTTTTACACTGCTCTGTTCCCTCAGCATTTCCACTCATTCCAGTCCAGCTCCACATTCTGGGCAATGGGAGATGACCACTGGAAAATGAACAGTGTTCCATAGTTACTGGGATTACCTTTGAAAGTCCACATTTTCCTCACCACCATCCTGCAGTCACATGCCATTTTATGCCTCTCTCATACATCATGCATTCTGGGCACAATTTGCAAAGTTATTTGCAGAGGAACATGGAGGAAATGAAGCTCACCCAGTGCATAGCTCATACAACAGAGATGGGAACATCATCCAGCAGTGTCATTTGTCTTGGTTTCTAAATTCTCTTTGCTACAGCCTCTAAACAACCACACCCTTTTACAGACAACACAACATCTTAAAATTCTGCCAGTGCATTTCTAATTAATTCAGCA